CCGTAGCGGTTTTTTAAAACAAAGTTGAAGTACCAACGACAAACGTAGTACTAACCGTGTTTGTACAAATGTGTAAGAGGGAGTAGTTGTAAAATTTACCGGAAGTACAACAGTAACGAGAACAGAAGTAATTTGTATTGGAAATAACAGCAACAATAGTTTAACAACAACAGTAACAATAATATCAGCGTTAACACAAGTAGATTCCGTAGATGCATTTGTTAAAACAAAACAAAAACACAACATTAAAAAAACACGATTGCAACAAGGATTGACGAGATAGTTATAAATTGTAATTGTACATGACACTAATTTTGGCGAATCAAAACCAACAAAGTTTTTTTTTCTTTCTTTTTTTCAAACTGATTATATCATAACAATCATAACAACTATGAATAACATGTACATACGAATAACATCAACAAAAAACATTCATATTGCAAGAAAAGGCAGTTTAAAAATCCTACCCGCGTGCTCGCCAACAACTATGACAGTGACACTAACAAGCCAAAAAGACATGGGGAAAGCCATGCTCGAAGCTTATACCACATACATGTTTAAGCTAAATACTACAACACCAACAAGCATAGCTGTTATAACATTATTATCATATTTGTGTCCAAAGCACGCCGTCAATTGTGATTTAAGCGGAAATGAGACGTAGGCCTACATATGCATATATGTATATATATATATATATATATATATATATATATATATATATATATATATACATATATATATATGCGTGTGTGTATATACTTATATATATATATATATATATATATATATATATATATATATATATATATATATATATATATATATGTATATATATATATATATATATATATATATATATATATATATATATGTATATATATATATATATATATATATATATATATATATATATATATATATATATATATATACACACATAGGCCTATATGCGGAATCAAAATTATTGGATGTAGAAATGGCATTACACAGTATATTGGTTTACATCAAATCTAAATTTAAATCAAGACTAAGAGAAAGAGAAGAAGAATAGAACCAGAGAGAGAACAACAGACACACAAAAGAAAGATAAAAAGATAAAGTGAAAGAGAAAGAGAGAAAGCGAATGAGAGAGTAAGCACGGCCCTAATATACGATTCTAATGAACAGGCTTTTAAAAAAATCTAATCTTCACCATCGGCCGAAAATAGTGAATGCCGCATAAACTCACCGCTTCATATCAAACGGATTGTAGTTTTATTCACACCTGGATTTTAAGAAATTGTGTTGATTTGAGGATATACTGGAGGTATTAGTTAATCCCCATACACATCAAGGCCCCAATGTTGCTAATACTACCCATATAAGCAGAGAAAAGGGTGTCGGGGGCCGGAGGGAGAAAAATATGAGAGCAGGGGCGGGGGTAGAAAGTAGGGAAAGGGGGGTATGGACGCCCTTTGAATCAGGGAAAGAGAGAGACACTTTAATGGGGTGAAATATTCAGTACAAATTATCATCTTTTCAGTTGTGAGCCAGCCGGGTAATTTTCTGTAGAGTAACTCCAGCCGGAATCTGTTTACGCACAGCGTTACAATCCATTGTTCTTTGTGAATATGCATTTGTGTACGTGTTCGTGATATGTATATATGTATATATATACATACACACACACACACACACACACACACACACACACACACACACACACACACTCACACATATATATATATATATATATATATATATATATATAGAGAGAGAGAGAGAGAGAGAGAGAGAGAGAGAGAGAGAGAGACAGACAGACAGACAGACAGATAGACAGAAAATGATATGATGCAATAGAAAATATATCCTAAAACGCCCGTAGGATCAGTTTCCCAAGCCAAAAGAGGCGAGCGCGCCCGTGCAGCGACCCTTGGAATATCCCCGGCAGATCATATGGTATTCAAATCCGTCTCCGTCGATGTCTCTTTGAATCGCTCATTAATCATTCATCAGCACAACGCTAAGCCCGGGCTATGTTTGACGCAACAACAATCTGGTTAATGCAACAATCTGCACCGAACGCAACATTGGGCGAGGGCGGAGGAAAAGGCCAGCGAGTAAGACGAACTTTTGGCTGAGCGGACCCGGTCGGGTGGGTATCGCTCCTGAGGGTGTGAGGGCCGACACCTGCGACGAGGGAGGGAAGGGCGGAGGGAGGGAGGGAGAGAAGGTAGGAGGGAAGGTGGGAATAAGAGAGGGAGGGAAGGTAGGAGGGAAGGTGGGAGTGCGAGAGAGGGAGGGAAGGGCGGAGGGAGGGAGAGAGACAAGGTAGGAGGGAAGGTGGGAGTGGGAGAGAGGGAGGGAAGGGCGGAGGGAGGGAAGGTGGGAGTGAGAGGGAGAGAAGGTAGGAGGGAAGGTGGGAGTGAGAGAGGGAGGGAAGGTAGGAGGGAAGGTGGGAGTGCGAGAGAGGGAGGGAAGGGCGGAGGGAGGGAGGGAGTGGGAGAGAAGGTAGGAGGGAAGGTGGGAGTGAGAGAGGGAGGGAAGGTAGGAGGGAAGGTGGGAGTGGGAGAGAGAGAGAGGGAAGGTAGGAGGAAGGGAGGCAGGGAGGGAGGGAGGGAGGGAGGGAAGGAGGGTGGGAGGGAAGGTGCGAGGGAGAAGTTGAGGGAATAAGAGAGAGAGAGAGAAGGAGGGATGGATAAAGATGAAGGAGGGAGGGGAGATAAGAGTGAGAGGGACGGTAAGAGGGAGAGGTGGAAGGAGGGAAGGTGGGAGGGAGAAGAGAGGGAGGGGAAGTAGGAAAGAGATGAAGAGAGAGAGGGAAGATGGGAGGGAGAGAGCGGAAATGAAGGTCGGAGAAAAAAGGAAGGAGAGGGAATGAGGTAGAGAGGGAGGGGGGAGAAGGGAAGGACGGAGAGGAGATGGGAGGTGAGGGGGGGGAGAAAAGGGAAAGGAAAGTAAGGGGGAAACAACGGTAAAGGATGGGCACGGGGAATGAAGAAGGTGAAGAAAGAAATTGGAAGGGAAGGAGGAAGAGAGAGAGAGAAAGAGAGAGAGAGAGAAAGAGAGAGAAAGAGAGAGAGAGAGAGAGAGAGAGAGAGAGAGAGAGAGAGAGAGAGAGAGAAGAGAGAGATAGATAGATAGAGAGAGAGAAGAGAGAGAGAGAGAGAGAGAGAGAGAGAGAGAGAGAGAGAGAGAGAGAGAGAGAGAGAGAGGGAGGGAGGGAGACAGGGGGAGATTTAATTAATTAAATGAAAAATTAAACAGATCAAACTTTGATTAAAATAGGACTTTATTAAACTCTAGAAGGTCAAGATGGTGTTAAAAGAATAACCTTAACGAGAGAGAGAGAGAGAGAGAGAGAGAGAGAGAGAGAGAGAGAGAGAGAGAGAGAGAGAGAGAGAGAGAGAGAGAGAGAGAGAGAGAGAGAGAGAGGAGAGGTTAACAGACACAAACCAAAGAGAAAGGAGACAGTCCGCATTAACAAGGCGAGAGAGAGGGAGTGAGAGAAAAGAAGACCGGGGCGGAGGAAGGGGCACCTGGAAGACAAAGAGAAAGAAGGAAGAGGGAGAGGGGAGAACGAATGAGTTAACGAAAGGAAGGGGGAGCGATGTTGGCGATAACCTCACGCCCTGCAGTCTTCTGTCACGCCCATCACCATCATGATATATAACTGCGATAATAACTCAGTGATTATCCCACCTTTAATTACTGTACTTAACTGACCTGAACCAGTTGTTAGTGATAATTCCCCAACAAAAGTTGACGCGAAGTGTCATTATAGGCAAGGTAAGTCTCGCTACATCTTGCCAACTATCAAGGAAATTGGCCATGATTATTGACTGTGATTATCAGTTGTCATTATTGGCTGTTGTCGTTCAGTATAGTTTCCTCCAAAAGTACTTGACATCGACACAAGAACATTTGCTCCTTGTTAGCTGGGTTATGTGTTCCATCTGAAACATATATTCGATATTTCACTGCATAAAAGTTTAGGTCTTTGTAGGTGGACTTGACATTCCTCTAGTCTAGCACATTTTCTTCACTGAACTTGGTTCTCTCGTAGCTGAATTATATATACCTTCTAACACATATTTTCCTTCGTCTGTTTTCACTGCGTAATTGTTAAGTTCCATAGAAAACTTATCCTTCCTTCTTTCTTATACATCTTTGTCATTTCTTTTCACTGAATAAATGTTTGTCTATTATTGATTGCATTATCCGTTCCTTCCGTTTCATACCTTTATCGCCTGTTTCATCACATACATATTTACTTCCTTATCTGCAGTGCCTGTTTCTTGTAATGCCTTTTCTCCCTTTCTGTCGTTGTATAAAGGGCTGTGATTGTATACTGTTTACTTTGATAATATTGTATTTCATGTACTGCATAATTCATTTATAGTTTTATAGTTCCTTGTTAAAAACAGAATTAGGGTATATCATGTAGAAGTATATAATGAGATTATTAATTATCCTTATATCAACATATGTATAAACACTTCTAGGGTAACTGCGATCAACAGTCATTTTACGATTATCTATAATGTCATAAATAATACTATTGTCATCGCCACATTTGCATGTAGAAGAAAGTAAATATAAGACTGATAAGATCCCATTTTCAAAAGCGCTATTTTGGGATTATTCAATATTTTGCGTCTAACTTTTGGGAAAATTTTCGATTAACAATCTTCCAGTTCTTTAAAAAGCTTGAATGAGTTACCTGATTCTTGTATCTTTGACAGACTGAAGGTAATGTTATCACCCACCTGTTCTAAATATAAATACTTAATAGGGACTAACTATCGAATGCATTGCAAAAGTTTGTGTCAGAGCCATGACTCAAGAAATTATCGCAAGGGTCGATATTGTCTTCAGTCATGGTATTTAGGTAACTAGAAGTCCTGTAGAGAAATCAGAATATTCTTTTTCATACGTTCACATACTTTGCGCTCGTATCGTTACCGCAGTGTTAATGTGTACATGCTTAATTTCTCGTGTATTTCTTTTCAGGGCCA